AATAAATTCAAGAAAGTCATTACTTATCATCAACCAAGGTTAAGCAATACTTGTACTTGGTTTCATTATCCTTCTCCACTCCTCAAATAATCCCTTCTGGGTTACAAAACTAATCAAATTTGAAAGGGTGCTAAAAAGCCCATTTAGGGTTGTATTAATTGCTCTTGTTGAAATATTTATGTCTATTAATAAAACTATAAAAACATACCTACAAGATGATACAGAGGTTTTTCAGCAATCATGTTAATGATGTTTGATATTGCAAGGAAGTCATAATTATGAGTTTGGATAATTGCTTCTACTAGCTTAATATATGTTTGTTGACCTAAGGTAATCTTAAATTTATGAGTAATGGCTCTATGCTCCTTAGTATTATGAGAAACCACAAAGTTTGTCATGAAGTATATACTGTCTTTAGCAATAATATGTTGGTATTAAGGGAATAAATTCTTAGTCATAACGGATGCTTGAATTTCACTTCCCTATATAGCATGTAAAACACAGTCATCATTAATAAAAGTCTAGTGGAAAAAGTAACATATCATACGTGTAATTATGAGGCAGTAAGTAATGAATTAATACATAAATGTTTCATAATTGTACTTAATCTCACCTTTTCATCTGTCAAAAGCATTGAGATGCAAAAAAGTTCAGTTGGTGTTTCCTTTTGATATACATCCATTTCCTAAGCACCCTCACAACAATTTTCCACCTGTCAGTTCCATCATGAAGTTTATTCAACATGGAATGTTTTGCAGCACTCATGGTTTATATGATTAAGGAGGACACAGAAGGAATGTAGAAAGTATGTGTTGAGAAACAACTAAGTGAACTTAATGTATTGAGGAGGGTGAACACAACTATAAAATAAACAAATATATAGACGGAGGATGCATATTGAAAAGGGCAAGAAATGATTAGAGGTTTATATAATATATCAGCTTATTATAAGCTTTTCCTACTTTCTATCATGGCAATCTATACTCCCCAATGGTCAATCCTAATTCTCCTAAGCACAGCTAACATTGAGTATTGATTATGAAAAGTATAAAACAATGTAATTTATGACATATTAGCTTAAGATAGCAATCTGAACAATAAGACTTTTGTAATAGAGTATACACAAGCATCAAATGCATGAACTTCATAACCATGCATTGTCCCATAGTACTAGGATGTATGAGAAGTTCATATATGTAGCTGAGATTTTGAATATACAATTCAAACACATGATAAGACTTAAAGGAAGAGCCTGCATGGTATTGTGGATTTTTAATATATAATTCATGTATGAGCATTAAAATGGAGCTCTATTACCTTTTCACTTTGTGGAATCCAGCATGCATGTTTAACTAATTAAGGAAAGTCAACAATACAACTTGAAATGCCTTGTAATTTCACCAGAGGATTAACAAATGCAACGGTTATTGATGAAAAAGCATTTCACTCATACAAAAAATATTTGAACATTTCATAACATTGAGATATACTCATTACTAATGACATCTTGATAGATTGAACTAAAGCTTATTGGTCATATAAGAAAAGAAAATCCCAAGTTGCAATTAAATGATGACTATCATTGTTCTTTAGCTATTTTATTGAACCTTATCTGATTTCATTGAAATAATGAATATGGATAATTGATGTAGTGTTTGAATAAAATAGGTTAACTTAAAAGTGATCTCATATGAGTTTGATTGTAAGCAATGAATTTCTTTTGGTGAGTGTAATCTAATGCTTTGACGTGTTTAACAAAAATATATCTAATTTGCTATCCCTTATGCATAGATACAATCAACCATTATCATGTATACAAATAACTTAGAACTTTATTGCCATTATTCTTTCTAGAAGACAACTCCATGCTTAACTAACAAAGGAAAGAAAACTATTATTACTTGTAATGTCTTATCAATGCATCAAAAAACTAACAAGGTGTAAAGCATGCACCTTTTAAAATCAACTTATTTGAATTTGAATTGCTTTTCTTGATAACCTAGATATGACTTGCTAACATGGGACACAGATGAATCTAGACATGTTAGCCACGGCCCACACATTGCTCTAGGCATTTTCTAAAAGTAAATTATGAATAAAAACCTATTGTAGCAGATGAATTCACAAAAATGGGAAAAAAAAAACAACTTTGTTTGTCATTGGATGTATTTAACCAAGAGAAAAAAAAAACTTAGCAAAAGGTAGCAATAAAAGTAGCTTTTTAACTCATAAAGGCATGTGATATGACTTTAGCAATTGTAAAAAATATGTTGGTCAAATCTTAAAAATAACTTTTGTAACAGCCTTTCGCTCACCCTGCCTACCCGAGGTCTTTTGCGGCGCTGGACACTCTCCCCCCAGGCCCCACAACAGGGCGACCCCAACCCTTACGGTGAGCATCAGGAGACAAATGCTTTCCCGCAGTAGTGTGCAGGATTATTCCCCTTGCGGAGAGCCTCCCCAGATTCGATCCTCGAACCTCTCCTACATAACAAAGTTGAGGCTGAACCTGGTACCATTGAGTCAAGTTTAGCTATAAGGTGATGGACTTAAATAAGGCAAGTCTTCAAGGTTTCTAGTCTAGTAAATAGTAGAAAAATGAATGACTCTTAGTCACCTAGTTAAAAAATGACCATCGGATACAAAAATTAGCATGAAGCATCAAAAACATATCACAACTAAAACTCTAAAGAGGCCTAATAGGAGGAACCAATACCATTTGAAATGATGTCCCAATGACTAACAAAAACATAAATAACATCTAAATTTTTCATACCCATAATCTTCAATTTTATTTCTACAATATTTATTATTTCAACTTGGGATACATTCTTAAACACACTATTGAGGATGGCTTTAGATTTTTCATTGGGTCATATTTTATTTCAAAGATCCATTTTTGTGATTCACATTTATATTTTCATAACAAAAACATCACATAGTAAAAATTGAATGTTATGTAATTCAAGACTGATGTAAGTGAAATATAAAACTTATATTGCATATTGATTATAAGGAAGGACATGACTATACCCTCCAAATTACATTGTGACAAAGTGGCTCATACACTAAAGCTATCTAATACTCTGTACTTTGATCTAAAAGTTTATTAACATATATTACATTATCAAAAATGATTAAAAGTGGTTTCACATGTAGAACATGTTGCTACAACAAAAGCAGAGAGTTACTCCTTCACTACCACCATTGACCAACCAAGTGGTTCCACATGTATAACATATTGCTACAATAAAAGAAAGGAGCTACGCCTTCACTACTACTACTGACCAACCTTCGGAGCATCATGAGTAATCTATGTCCTTTTTCCTTGAAGCAGTGCCCCCTTAAGTGGTTGCAGCTCAGGAAATGAAGCATTCCAAAAAAAACTCTAGTTGCAAAAGCATAGTTGTTAAGAGAAGAGTATCATGATTCAAGGAAATAAACACCAATGAATATATAGAAAGATGAGACTGAATGTTAATACATAAGATTTTTAGGTCTAATGTGACCTTGATGCCTGTAGACAAGAGCATACTAGATGACTAAGACAACACGATAATACCTCTTATATGGCTAGTGATTATCCCACACCTTTTCAACTGAGTCACTAAGCAAAAAAACACCTAATTCTACTCCTCCTAAAGGAAAAAAAAAAGAGGAAATCAAATTCACAAAAGAAAAGGCTAGCAAATTTAATAACTTTAAATAAAAAAAATTAGTCAAGATACTTCACTTTGAATCTTCAACTACAAATTCCAGTTTCCAAGTGTACAGGCCATGATCTCTTATCATATCAAGATCACTAATGGTAATAAGGACACCATATAGATTTGAGGCACGAAAAAAACAGAGAATAAAGATGAGATATTTGATGGAACTTAACCACTGCAAAAAAATGGAACATGAAAAACACCTCTAACTTAATACGCAAGAGACCACTCCATCTTAATGGTGTCTACCGACGTGAGCTTGAAATCATGGTCTGGCATTAAGACAGTTGTTTCAATTACAAATGTGTAAGGAAGAAGCTCTATGTAGTACTCTTTATGAATCCCCTCGCCACCATTACATACCAAAATAGTCTCGATGCAGTACATCTTGTTTTGCTTAAGTCGGTTCATGAATCGATCGATCATGTTCTTGCTAACAGCACAAAGAAGCATCCTTGTGGCCTATAGCAATCCAAATGAGATAAGGAGAATTTCATAGTGGCAATGTATTATAATTAGAGGAACAAAAGGAAAAAGAGCTTACTTGTTCATTGAAGACTACCTAGTCTAGAAAGATTAACTTTTTGGGTACCCACAATCCCGTTGGTAAACATCGAAAATAGTCCTTTAAAAAAACACGATTTACATTAACTAAAACTCTCCATGTATCCTTCATCAAGGCAAGAACACTCAAAGGATCATAAGTGCTAACATCCATTCTGACACACCAAGATATTAGATGAAGAGAGAGAGTAGGGACAAGTGGAATGTGTAAAGACTAAAGGAAGTTCAACCAGCTATTATACCTAAAGCGCCACTTTAGAGGTGCACCACAATAAATACAACCATTAAGCATGCATAGAACCATGTTAGAATTGGAAGTTGAAGAACCAAAACATCATATTACAAAGCACTTAATACCTCTGACACATTCCTAAAGCTCAATAAATATGTGTTATGTCATAAGATATTATTATAATCCCTCCTCTTATTATTATATTTAGACGCTATGTTTTTTATATTTGAAGTCGCATACGAGCCATTGAGCATCACCTATGTAAGTACAAAGGCAAATGGAAAGCCATTACTTTTTTTGTGAAATTGTTACTGTTCATATGAACAGTAAAATAGGTGAAGAGCCATGAAAGAAAGGCGGCTTAAAAGGTTTTTATTTATATGTTATATTGGTTCTTTTGATCATGGAAAAGTTAAAAGGGAGAGGGTGAGGCAAATTTTTGAGAGAGGGGTCTCTATTTTTTTTCTCCCAATTTCCTTTCATTTCTCCAATTCTCACCATTTATTAAAATGGAGAGATCCCCTGCCCCAAATTTTTGGGGAATGAATGATCCACCCACTAACATCCCTGAAGGTAATATAAAATTTTTATATTTTTTATCTCATCTCGTAACATACTTTTAAAATTTATACCTTGCTTCCACTCCTACCTCTCCCTTCATAGGAGGGATAAGCAGGAGGGGACAAACATTCGATCCTTCTCACATTCTTCAATTGATACAAATAGTGCTGGTGATCTTCAGAAAAACGTATTCTTTGATTCTTGTGGCAAAACTTGAATATAAAGTCACTCTTTTGATGAGCTCGGTCCTCGTTTGAAGAATGCATTTCTTTAGAGAAGTAATGACTGTGTTGCTTTCATGTCATTTGTATGGAACAAACAGTGATGCATTCTGGGATCAAACATAATGGCTTTCTGTCTTCCTCAGGCTTCCTTTTCATGGAGCATGATGTATCAGACCATCACTGTGATCCACGCATTCTACATGCTCAAGCCATTAAAGCCTCTAAAACTGACACTTTTTTGTGCAATAACCTCATCGCTCTCTACTCCAAATCCAATTTCTCATCTTACCCCCTTCGTCTCTTCCACCAAATCCCTCGTCCCAACATTGTCTCATGGACCTCTCTTATCGCTGCTTCCTCCAACACCCTCCTCGCTCTCCACCATTTTGTTTCCATGCTTCGCCATCCTACTCTTCCTAATCAACGCACTTTGGCTTCCCTTTTCAAAACCTGTGCTTCATTGTCTTGCCTGCCCTTTGGCCTTACTCTCCATTGTCTCTCCATCAAGCTCTGTTTATCTGAAGAACCCTTTGCTGGCTCTGCTCTCATCAATTTCTACTCGAAATGCCGCTTGCCCCATGAAGCACGCAAGGTGTTTGATGAAGTTCCGCAGAAAGACAATTTTTGCTATTCTGCTGTAATCGTGGGTCTTGCTCAAAATTCACGATGTCTAGATTCACTGTCGGTATTTGCTGGCATGAGATCTTCTGATGTTGCTTCAAGCATGTACAGCATTTCCGGTGCTCTTCGTGCGGCTGCAGAGTTGGCAGCATTGGAGCAGTGCAAGATAATACATGCACATTCGGTTGTCACAGCATTTGATTTATCTGTGGTAGTTGGCAGTGCCCTTATTGACGGCTATAGTAAAGCTGGTTTTGTTCAAGATGCCCGACAGATTTTTGACGATAATCTGCCTGGTATGAATATTGTGTGCTGGAATGCGTTGATGGCAGGTTACGCACAACAAGGAGATCATGGTTCAACCTTTGAGCTTTTAAATTTAATGGAAGCTCGAGGGCTTGTTCCAGATGAATATAGTTTTCTTGCAATCCTGACATCACTTTTTAATGCCAGAATGTATCTTGAGACTGAGGACTGGCTGAAAAGGATGAAAGAAGAATATGGTTTGGAACCGACATTGGAGCATTATACATGTTTGGTGGGTGCAATGGGCCGTGCTGGACAATTGGAGCAGGCAGAGAGAACAGCACTGACAATGCCATTTAAACCAGATGCTGCTGTGTGGCGAGCTTTGCTATCGGCCTGTGCTATTCACGGTGCAGCTGACAAAGCGCGGTCTATGGCAACGCGGTTATTGGAGATTGAACCACACGATGACACAGCTTATGTTATTTTAGCTAATGTGTTATCAGCTGCAGGAAGGTGGGATGATGTTGCAGAAGTGAGATGGCGGATGAAAGATGGTAAGGTGAAGAAAAGAGGAGGGAGGAGCTGGATTGAAGTCCAAGGAAGAGTTCATGTGTTCGAGGCTGCAGAATGGAAGCATGAGAGATCTGTGGAAATCTATGGTAAGTTGGAAGAGCTTATGGGAGAGATCACGAAATTAGGATATGTGCCAGTTTGGGATGAAATGTTGCATAACGTTGGAGAAGAAAATAAGAAGAAAGGCCTTTGGGGTCACAGTGAGAAGTTGGCTGTTGCATTCGGAGTGTTGAGTGGAAGTGCACCACCAGGGAAGGCATTGAGGATTGTGAAGAATTTGAGGATTTGCAAGGATTGCCATGAGGCCTTTAAGTATATGACCAGAGTGTTAGAAAGGGACATAATTGTGAGGGATGTGAACAGATACCATAGATTTTTCAATGGTAAGTGTACTTGTGGTGACATATGGTAGCATGCATTAATGATGGCAAACAGGTTTTTTGGGGTAAATAAAGCTCGACAAGGAAGCTGAGTTTTTAGGCTATGCCTCCTCTTGTTAAATAAATGTTGTTTTTTTTCCTTTTAAATAAATATAGTTGAAGAAATGTGAGACATTGTTGGTGATATGGTCGAAGAGACAGATCAAAGTCAGCGGATGTGGATGATAGCCTAATAGGAAAGGTCAGTATACATTGGCATATGGATATGTGGATGCCATTCAGGATCACTTCCATTTGTATTCAAATTGAGCCATAATATTTATCCTATTTGAGAAATAAATTATATTGTTTATAGCACTTAATGATGTAATTAATATGATTTTCTATAAATTTTATATCTATATTGATATTTTGGATTTGGAGATCCCGCGATGATATAGACATAAAAATTTGAATATTTTATTACGTCTCTTTAGTACTCTACCTAATCCTTTTGACATAATCATATTAACTACATTATTGATGTCAGAAAATTAATTAAAATTAGTTAAATGTTAAAAATTTTTATAGCTTTCCAAAATTATTCTTAATCAAATTAAAATCATGATTCTGGCAAAAAAAAATTAAAAGTGAAAAAGACAATGGCATTTTTAAAAATAAGTCATATGTTTCATTACTTTTGTAACCAAATTTCTACTAAAGACCAACAAAATAATATCAATAATGTAATCCTGTGTGCAATCCCAATTGGCATCTAAGATGTCATCCTCAATATATCCTATGTGACAATCAAATCCTAAATAGTAGGGTTGTGCATGGGTAGAGTCAGGTAGGGCAGCCCCCTAACCTGATGCCCTGCCCTAATTGTGTTCGGGCAAAAAAATCATGCCCATAGCCCGACTCTACCTGAAAGATGCCCATTTTTGGAGGAGTCGGGCGGGCAAGGTTGGGCAAGGATTGGGCCGTCGAGCTAGATGTCCAGTACTGACCCCTTTTAGGCACCTAAAAGCCTTTTGTTGAACTAAAATATATTAAAATTGGGTTCATAATGGCCACTAATAAACCATGTCCAACAACAAATAATGAGCTCAAAGTAACTTTATTAAGAAATAAACAAACCTAAATAAAATCTAATTCATACAAATAAAACGAGATTTCCTCAATCAAGCCAATCAATTGAAAAACAATACATCCATGAACACTAAACAAGTTAAATATAAACTATAAAGTTTGAGATAGCAAATTCCTTGATCCCTGTACCATCATCTATTTGGTAAATAGTAGTATATGTGGCAACAAAGTCTTAAGTAACATGTTATTTAACCAAATAATTTTAAGCTAAATCATCCAAGTAGAGCAAAGTCAGAATAAAAAGATATATATTCAAAATGCTATAATATATAACGGGAGCCCAAATCAATACATTGAAGTCCCAATAAATAAGTACACACTTTTTTTTTATTTTTGCAAAAACACAGGTACACACTTGAGGAGACAAATTGGGTCATAATCTTACACATTTAAGCCTAAATGCATATCCTAATATACCATAGGAATTTATGAGAGTGAATGGTACTCAAAAGAATCTTAATGAGTTTAACAAAAGCTTACATGGGCTCATTAAAGGCATTACATAAAGATCAATCCAATTAATTTAATTAAGAAAATATTCTTTCTTGAGTTTAGAAAATTAGTTTTATCTTGTTTTAAATTCAAAGGATAGAATATATTCATTAAGATATGATCTTTCCATTTAAAATCCTAGATTGACTCGAATTATATCATTTAGCTGTTTTTAGAAGAATCAATTTAGACACTTAAGCCATTGCATTTTGCCAACTTGATTAAATTAAAAAATTGAATTTTTTTTTCAATTATGAAACTATTATTATTAGTATTATTTTTTCTAAGATAATATACCGTAAAATTTTGAATTTTCGTGAACTATTATTTAATTGTTTCGTATCAATCTTATAAATAAAATTTATAACCGGAGTAAGTATATGATACATATCTGGAAAATATCTAACATACATAAAAGCAATGTCGTCCAAATCCCATATGTAATGAAGAAAGTGGCCGCAGATGTTCTACAGTCGGCAAGGAACATTGGAGTTAAAAATTGTAAGCTAGCTCACTTTGTCAGTAAAATGAAATGCAATAGATTTTTCAGTACAGGTCAAATGCAGGAGAATGGTTACGTCCCACAAGCATGACCGTTGATCCAAAACAGATCATCAAGGTTGCACAGCCTCCAAGAGTTTCTCATACACCTGTCTAGCAGTCAAATCCTCCACCTGAAAAACAGTAATAATTTTAGCGCAGTTATCCACTTGTTAAAATCCCTATATATACATATATATATATATATATATATCTCAATATTACTTTTATTCTCCCAAAAATAAATTGATTAAGCTTGAAATTCATTTGGCAGTGGATTCCACTTGAATGATCAGCCACAGAATGCGTAGATTCTACAACCCTACGTTCTTTCACCGCAAATAATAATCCCATATGAGCCCCCCACTTTAGAGGATTCAGGTCCCTTGATTAGTTGAGCACAAGCATTGATGAAAAAGAAAACGTTGATGAAAATTTACTGTAGAGGATTCATTTGAATGAAGAAATTTATTTAACTCACAACAAGAAGCTTTGATTTGTTGTTCCAGCCTCTCTGAAGAGTCATCTGGCTCAACCTTAAGCCCAGCACCTGTGTAACAACATGTATATTCTTGAGTCCATAGCAAGAAGAAAGGTGCAGAGACGCAGAAAGAGTAGAAACCGACAAGCAAACAAATAAATTTACTTTGCCCATAAATTCCAAAAGTTCATTGTTAGCTTCTCCGCGCGCAGCAGGTGCTGCGACAGTGACTCGAACATCATCAGCATTTACTCCTAGCAAACATAATGAAAACGATTTTAATTCACACGAATTGTCTCGGTCTAAGCAAATTTCATAATCAAACAAACAAGTGCAAGAACAAATCCTAGGGTGAGTTACTCATGATATCTCATATCCTTCTTGATGTACTTCAGCATGAACTTTGGATTAGGAAATTCGAGTTGACAGGCATTTACGCTCCTCCAAACATATGCTTCATTGTTAATTTGAAATATGCGAGCCATAATGTAGACGAAGTTGCAACTCTATGCTTGTGTCATTCAATAAGAGTGGCACAACAAGAATCTGCAGTAAATTTGATTTTGTGCTACTTCTAAAGTTGTTGGTTGAAGCAAAAATAAACAATGTTGCACTGATTCAGTAGGTGTGCATATCACTTAGGCATATAGTAATGAATAGAGTATTGTTATCCCAAGCAAGGCTTCAATTACCAAATACAGGACTTTAATCTAATAATTTAAATGAAAAATTAATCATTTGCTCCTTAACCTTTAACTCGATGCAACTTAAACCTTGTGATTTTGACTCAGTTAAAACTCAGTGCTTAGACTTTAAATTAATGCAACTTAATCCTTATAGTTTTAACCATTTAAAATATTGGTCCCTATATTTTAAAAAATAAAATTACATAGACTGAAGGTATTTCTTAAATCTTAGAGATTAATTTTTTAAATTGCTAAAATTATAGAGATTGAGTTATAACAAGTTAAAGTTTAAAGACTGAGTTTCAATTGAGTCAAAATTATAGAAACTGAGTTGCACCGAGTTAGAATTTAAAGACTGAGTTATAATGAAGTCAAAACTATAGAACTAAATAATTAATTTTCTCTACTCTAAATGGTCAAATGAATGGAAGATTGCCAATCAAAAAAACAGTTGCTCAATCAAAGATCAACCAGAGAGAACTCTGGAACCAAGAATCCCTTACTAAATATAATATGGTTGATCTTAGCCAATGATTCTCAATGAGATTAATGGTAATTCCACAAAACAAGGTAAATCCCCTTCTTGGGATAATTCAACATGCTCAAATTAAGCCTGTCTACTCCCCTGATCACATTCATAATACAAGCCCATTGTACCAAGGAATTGATGTAAATTCACACCACAATTGCTCAATAATTTTGCCAACCAAGTCTACTAATCTAGCTATCTATATTGAATTAGTCTCTCAACCTACTCACAATACATCAACCATATGGTGGCCAGCCACTCATCAATCCAATTCAAAATGTCACGAGAGGGTTCATAGATCAATTACATCAACAAACAGATTCCGCTAAATTCCAAATTAAAATATTTAGCAGCTATTCAACAGGAGATTCAAGGACAGAACAGTGACACGCTAAAAGGAACAATCCATGATTTGGAAAATAAAAGATGGAACTTATCCAAATAATAAAGAGAAAATTGAACCAAAATGGTGAAAAAATTACTCGTGATGGCTGATCGTTGTGCACGATCTTCAACTTCTATGGCTATCTGCACAAGCCCTCCTTCTAGCTGCGATATGCATGGTGGCACTGGCGCATCCTAGAGAAAACATGTCACAAAAATATTAGAGGCAGAAGCTCTGAAAGTTAAGAATGAAGATCAAATTCACAACTTATCATTCGAATGAAATCACCAAGCAAGGCTGCAACTATACAATTTCCACAGTACATAACCAAAAAGTAAATATTAGCATCTCAATGAAAGAACAGTGTAAGAAAATTAATAGATTTTATGCCTTGAACCTGGGAGCAGTATGGCTTTTTAAATGGTAATGAAATGTTCTCTGGCAAAATTACACAATAAGAAGCCAATGACAGTAGAATGGATTTACAGTGAGTATTCTATCACCTGTGGATTGGTTTCAGCCGCAACAGTACTGAGTGCACCATCAACTACATAAACAAAAGATGCACCTTCCAGATCTTCTTCTGCACGATAACAAACAAAAAGATCACAGCCCAGACAATTCATCCGAAATTGTTTCTCCAGTTTCCCTTCACCACTGTAAATGAAAACAACACATATCCAAATAAATACAGCAAGTTCCTCAAAACTTATATCACATACAACAAGAATTAGATGACAAAGGGTATTTGTATAAAACAAATAAAAAAAATAGATAATTTGATACAAATCTGACGCAACAAAAAGCATAAAGTATACATCAAAACTTAGGGATTGAGATTATTTAGTTACTGATAGAGATTACACTAAAACTATCCATAGACCTTCACCAATTGTTAATGGTTATTGCCATTGAATCAGTGCTTCCATGACCACATTGGCTAGAAAAAATTACTGTTTGGGGAGAATACCTCTCACCAAACAGAAGATAACAACTTAGGCTATTAAACTCAAGTGTCATCAATCCCTTTGAAGATCCACAAGGAGACTTCTCCAAAAATAACTATTAGCTGAAACCACCCAGAGGACAAAAACAGTCCTCTATAGAAGAAGCATCTGATTAAAAATTCCTGAATTCTGTTCTGAATTCAAACCAAAGACATCACAGACTGACAAGAAGTGCAAACTACCATAGAAATTTTGTGTTCCTTTAGCCTACCAAAATCCCTAAACTTAATAAACAGGAAAGCCTAAAGATCATGTTGATAAGCCCAACTATCCTCAAAACTGGACATATAATTCCAAATATGCTAAGCTACTTTACAATGCAAAAACATGATAGTTATTTGTCTGTGTATTTCTGTAGCATGTTAAACAGGCAGCAAGTGACAGTTTTGTTGGCCAACAAGTCTCAAGCAGATCTTTTGACATTAATTCTATAAAATATTATAAACAACAAAGCCTTCAACATAGAAAGGCTTTTGAAGAAAACCTATAATTGTACCTGAGTCTGACCCAACACAGCCTGATTCGACTCCGTAATATGCTGGGCCAAGGTCGTTTTTATGAGTTGGCTTGGCCATTTTAAAAATGGTAAAAGTTATTTAAAGACCCCCAAAAAAATTCATTTAAATCCCTATAAAATTACATCTTTCCCCTAAAAATAGACATATAGGTACTTATGAATAAAACTTTTTAAGCCAAACCAAGTCAAACCAGCAACCTGACCTGATGTCACCAAGTTAATCGGGCTGTTAAAGAGTGAAGATTATCTAGCTCAGTCTCTCCTGACTAAATAGGGTCAAGTTGAGCTAGGCCAAAAAATTATTGATCAGGCAGAGATGGACAACATGTCTAGCACCACATGGTCCTATTAATTTTTTTCCCCCAAAAAATATATATATAGGGACATGTAAAAATATTTTTTTCAAGGGCATCTTATGTGACTTTTTTAGGGTTATGTTATAATTTTTTTATCAAAAATTCAAAAGATAATACAATGGCCTAGCTAGCTTGGGAAGCCAGTGCAACTTGAGCATCAAGCTTAGAAGATGAAGCTCAGAGCAAATAAGAGTCAAGCAATAAGCATGAAAAGTGTGGGGCGTGCTTCCTTGCTCCTTATCCCCAATCCCTGTAATTTAGGAAAAACTTTTACCATCCCTATTCATAAGTTTTAGACGTCTCACCTTAAACAAAATAAATTGGAAACAAATTTCAATTTCAATTTTAGTGAAAAACAATCACCAATTAAACTTTGACAATGCTTAAATGAGTACAAATAGAAGTCTAGCCATCCCAAGCTTTGGAGAGAATTTGTAAAGTGAAAGGTCCATAAACTTATCAAATGATCAATACCGTTTTAAGAGAACTTTTCCTGCCTCATTTATGTTCAATCTGGCAAGATGTTTCTTCTTGTCCAATACATAAGCTTTGTCGGTCTTCCTTTTTGGCATTTTCTGCAATTGGGTATCTTATATCGAATATGCTTCAGCATAAGAATTTCTCTAGATCATATAAGAGTGCTACCAGGAGAAGGTAATGAAACAAATCAGGAAACATGAAAAGGCATGAAATGCATTCAATAGTCTAAATTTTCAATCCCCACACTTTGACTTCATGTTAAGGAAAGTAAAAGATAGTTATATAACAAAACCTGTACTAGTCACAAAATATAAAGGCTTCCCCACAAGCTCAAGGACATCGTAAATAGTCAATTTAATTCCAATTTGCTTTAACACTTGAAGGGGCAGCAATTTTCATTTTTCCCTTTGAACTTCTACATATATTATGTTTTTCAGACTAGATTGTATTGCCGAAAATAAGCAGGAAAGAAGGCTTTATTATGTAAACAGTCAGATTTGTGTTTGAATCTAAGAAATCTTCTACTTGACGAAATGCTTATGTTTTATGAATGCTCGTGTTTTCTCTATTTTATGCATACTAATCTGTTTTCTCTATCAGGCATTGGAAGATAAAAGCATGCAAAAATTGCACTGTAATATCCTTAGACTTCATAGATTTGAATGTCCACCACCGTTTTCCTCTACTTTGTACTCAATTCAAGATATTTCATTGCATATCTCTGATACTTTCCAGGGCTCAATGATCCAGATAAAGACTAAAACATGCTACTAATTAACTCAAAAAGGGGAAAGCACAAATAATTTTCTCTTGCAAAAAAAGAAGAAGAAGAAGAAGACAGCTCACGATATCTTAAGCAAAAACCCAAAATCTTGAATTAGAAGCCCAAAAGTACCGAGTAAAAAATTGCCTATACACCATGTTAATTCAACAAGCCCAGTAGAATCATTGATTAGTCTTAACTAGAGCACATCATACAGATTGGAAATTGAATTCTTTCAATTAACCTTGTTCTAGATTTTGGGGGAGGAAGGGGGCCTAATCTTTGAATAATGTAAATTAAAATATTTTCCACTAAAAGTGTTTTATATAGTTTTTGATAATATGGATGCAGGATTAGAACTATGCCACTTAAATGATGAAATACGGAAAGCTAATCGCAAACAAATGAAGTTTTGAAATAACCTGTTATGAGAACATGAGATCCACAGTGCTTGCAGTAATAAACAAAGAGATCAGAGTCTGGCCCCTCTGGAGCTGCATCCTCACTTGAGTATGTATGTGTTGTCCTCTTCGGCATTTCTTTAACTTCGCCTCCTCCTCCTCCTCCTCACTCCTTTCTCCTTATGCAGGAGCAGATCTTTTATGCTTTCTCTACAAGACTCAAGGCGTCTATCCTTTGAATTAAGGAATGTTCACCACTAAAAGTACTGTTAACTTTCAAACTGCAGGGGGGGAAAAAAATCCAAATAAGCACTACAGCATTTAGTCTATACTACATATCAGCCATTAATACGCAATGAAATTACAAAATTGGCGTGCTGCGTTCGTGACCCATGGATACTATCAAGTCATCATCCAATTGTCTTAGTTACAGATAACAACTTATCTAATTGTTAACAAGAAAAAAACAGGAAAAAAAAAAACGCACACAGATATTTTACAAGTGGGTTGACGCGACGAATTTTGACATTCTCATCTGTCAAACATCTTCATTTCCTTTAAATGTAGTTCCGTACACCCTCCTTAACACAATAAAATATCTTGAATGGCAAGAATTTAAGCAACAACTGAAGTCTAAGGAACAAAAGAGACATTCCCTGAGATGGAGCAAAAGTTGATAAGACATCAAATCATAGACATGGAAAACAAATACCAGAGTTGTCCCCTCGGTAAAAGGCACGAAATCCTCATCGAATAGTCATGTACATACACACAACAACTAAGTGACCCAAAAAAAATGAGTAAAACAATGCAAAACCTTTTGGCAGAACGAAGATGAAGAAAGGACATGAATAAAATAACAAATACAAGATGTGAAATTCCACTAACCAGAAGAAAGAAAGAAGATGGAGGCAGGACGGACCTGATGTGGAGAGAACTGGGTGTACGGCTGCCTGCCAAGAAGAGGTCGGGGGATGCGATCGTCGCAGTGGCTGGGTGTGTGGAGAAGGAATCGAACGGGGAAATAAAACAAAATAAAATTACCATCAGGTCCAAATAAAAAAGGGAGAATGGCAGATACAACCTCCCAAAGGATAATATTTTCTCTACAAGCCCAATAGATTCTAATGTACAATTATTTTTAAAGCCAAAAGGATCGAATTAACTTCAATGAGTGAGAAAATACATGCTATATATATATATATATATATTAGCCAAATAAAATTAACAATACAATGTGTAAATAACAAAAAAGTACAATTACTTACAATAAGATATCTGTTTATTTTTTCAAAAAAATCCATGTGAGTTTACATTTAAAAAAAATTTCCTAATTAATTAACTAAATGAAATTAACGAATAAAATATATGTAAATAAAAATAAAATTATAATTAATTACATTGAAAACTCCATTTATTTAACTGAACCATGTGAGTTTACGCCTTTTTACTCATTGAAGGTAGTTCAATTATTTTAGATAGCTTTAAAAATAATTGCACATAAAGCTTTTGAGCCTATAGAGAATTACCAAAATCTATTAAGCCTGTAAAACAAATAACTTCCTTCATGGACCTTTAATGCAATTCTTTCAATAAAAAAGTTAATTATTCTTCAACTTATTTACAAGTCGAATTTCAATGTTTAGTTGTTAAATTTCAATATTTAGATGTCGGTTTTTTTTTTTGGCCAAAGGATATTAGATGTGGTTGGGACTTATAGATAATTAATTTTTTATATAGTTTAAAAATAAAATGATCAATTAACATTTTTATATAAAAAATTATATATTTCTTCTGTTTGACTTTTAATTTAATTTTTATATTTTGGAAGTTTAATTTAAAATCAATTCATTTTTATTTAATTCAAATAATTTCTAATGTAGTTCTTGTTATTACATTTTTTGATTAACTTAAATTGTTGTTACATTTTTTAATATTATTTTCCATATGTTGATTTAATTTTATATATATATAGACATATAGATCATTTTCGTTGTGGCCATAGACAATACATGGTCCAAAATATGAAGATTATTTAAAGCAAGTTATACCGATGAAAGTTAATAAATATAGAGAGACATTTGGTTTTAGTGAGACTGACGTTGATATAATGATTCCACACAACTGGATTCAAATTAGTCTGGGGTCGGCATATATATCCTTTTGTCAGTTTAAACTACTAATACTGCTAACTAATCTTTTCATTTAAATGTTATTAATTTGTTTTAATATAATATTCCTCAACCAATATCAACATACATTATCATATTCTTATATATCTCTACCTGATCTCGCAGATAAGAAACAACTAAGCATGTTTATTATTGGAAAGGTAAAAAACATAAAATATCAACATACATTATCATATTCTTCTATATCTCTACCTGAACTCGCAGACAAGAAAGAACTAAGCATGTTTATTATTGGAAAGGAAAAAAACATTGGCTAAGTCACCATTCAGAACTTAACACATACTTAATTACTATATTTAACTTGAATCAAATGAGCCATACATATTTAGAGGATATTTAGGGCAAGGATCTTTTTGATCACCAACCTGTGCAATCTCCATAAATAGGAGTTTCCTCAAAACGTGATGTCCCCATTGCAGATACCTCTATATCCATTAACAAGTTAAGCTAGCTATTAATCTCCTTCTCTTAATTACTAAACCTCTTTCATTTATATCAACCCCTCACAGGAATTAACAATGGAGATAATCATCATTAGCAATGGCGTTCCCGGCAATTCTCGTTCGTTTAATATTACTGGTTTTGTTCGTGTGTCTTGTGATACCAGTTCATGCTCGCCTTCACAGGCTTCGCCATCATCCAAAACGTAATGAAACCCTCAATTTTCTGGTCATTGGAGACTGGGGAAGAAAAGGAGAATATAATCAATCCCTTGTTGCCAAAGAGGTTTTTAATTAGCTGTCTATAGATCTTTCTTTCTTTGAATTTTCTCTTTTCATTTATACACTGGACATATATAAAAATAATAACAATATTGTAACTGGTTAATTAACCGTCTATAGATCTTTCTTTCTTTGAATTTTCTCTTTTCATTTATACACTGGACATATATAAAAATAATAATAATATTGTAACTGTTTCATCATGAGCATGACAGATGGGAAACATAGGAGAGAAACTGGACATAGATTTCGTGATATCGACAGGAGACAATATCTACGATGATGGTTTAAGGAATGTAACTGACCCTGCTTTTGTGCAATCGTTTACTCAAATTTACACTGCCAAGAGCCTCCAAAAGCCATGGTTCTCTGGTAACTTCACTTTAAAATAATCTCTCGCTCTATCTCTATCTCGTTCTTCTTTTGTCTGATATATATGATGAAACTATCTCAATCATTGATGTGAGTCAATCTTATATGTATATCTTAATTAAATATTACAGTTCTGGGAAACCATGACTATAGGGGTGATGCACTGGCACAATTAAGTCCACTGTTGAGGAAAATTGACCGTAGATGGGTTTGCCTCAGATCCTTCACTGTTCATGCAGGTATATATGTATTCTTAATTAAGAAAGCTTTATTTGGTGTTGGTGGATATTGAATGATATACATGGGACTGCTGTGCATATACAGGAATTGGCGACATGTTTTTGATTGACACGACTCCGTTTGTGGAAAGCTATTTCACGGAATTAGATCATGTCTATGATTGGCGAGGTGTGTCTCCCAGGCAAGCTTATGTCTCCACCCTTCTTCAGGTACCTACTCATAATTGGAGCAAGCTTTTTATTATTGACATATAGTTTGAAACAATGTAACATTAATGTGAGATTATACATATACAGGATTTAGAAGAGGAATTGAGAAGTTCGAATGCAACATGGAAATTTGTGGTGGGTCACCACGCAATAAGAAGCGTTGGTCATCACGGTGACACTCTTGAGCTTGTCAAGCTTCTCGATCCACTGCTCAAGGTCTGTACGTACATACAAATTTATATACATAAGAGCACAAGTACAATGATAGAATCTTGAAAATTAATTAGTTTATTATGCATGCAGGCCTACGGTGTTGATATGTACATAAATGGGCATGACCACTGTCTGGAACACATAAGCAGCGTGGATAGGTAGTAAGACTTGGAAAGGGACTAAAAAAGTTTCATTATCGGGTCATGAAACATTATATTGTTTGAAAACCCTAGCTAGATATATTAATAAATGAGGGTTTTAATCATATATATATATTTATATATAATGCAGTGGAATACAGTATTTAACGAGCGGAGCAGGGTCGAAGGCATGGAGGGGAGATGTGAAGGAGAGCAGTGAGGACTTTGTGAGATTCTTCTACGATGGACAAGGTTTTATGTCGGCGCAGGTCACTCCCACTGATGCCCACCTCGTATTTTACGATGTCTCTGCCAATGCTCTTCATCAATGGACCATGGTCAAGCCCCAGCATTCCTCCATCTGAATTCTCAGTCCTGTAAATATGCACATACAAACCTAACTTAGCTTGTCGCTTCGAGAAAACAACCAAATGTAGAATAGGCGTTGGACTTCTAAGCCCATCAACTATTGGCCCAATCTAGTATTGAACAATCTCTTCTTTTACCACGCCGTATCTTCCTATGTTATTGCTTTTTTGGAAAGATATCAAGTTGAAATTCCTATGAATGCGTCAAATGTCTTGGGAGATTTTTCTTTAATTGGCTTAATAATGCTTGAATCTGATCTAATCAAATACCCTATGAAAAAAAGAAAAAACTTGATTCTTATATTTTAGATTCAGATTCAATAAGTGTCTCAAATTCCTTGAGCATGTGAACATGGCTGGTTACTAATAATTATACATCATCTTTTTATTTCCTTGATTTTCTTGTGAGCAAAGAAGATAAAGAATGGCTTGCAGTTTTGCACCATCCTTAAATCTAGAAATAATCATTATATTATATATTTATTTTATTATTTTATTTTTTATGGAATATTGAATGCCATATGAAATGGTGACTTAATATATGGGGAAATTTTTAGATAGATCTATACATCACATCATTCATAATCAATCTAATAGAAATTGACATTCAGACAACATTAAATATAAATTAATTTTAATAGTAATAATAGCAAAAAAAATGCAATAAATTAAATATGCATTTTCTTGTAAAAACAAATTTATTAAAAATAATGACATGTAATATTTTATTTGATTGAATTGGTAAATGTACCATAAATGACGTAATGTATCAGGTCTATCTAAAAATTTCTCATAACATATGTAACGTATTCTCTTTAATCTTATTTATAAATCACTTTTAATATATTTTACTAAAATTAAGAAAAACATTAAACTTCATTAATTTTATCTAAAAATTTAATAAGTTTTTAACTTTACCCTTGTTAAATATACATACTGTAAAAATAATATACTCTAATATTTAATAACTTTTCCAGAATTTAACAAGGACAAAATGACAAATATGAACACAAGAATTATTGAAATTTTTTATAAATAAGATCAAAATAAACACTCTCTCTTATAAACATAAATATACAAGACCACGATAGGAATCTTATAATTTTTTTTTAATGAAGAAAGATGCATTAACCAACAGAGGTTATTTTAGTACATAAAGATAATCGTCTCTTATCATCATCCAACACCTCTCTACATTGAGGTAGGGGTTGATCAAGAGAGTAAAAGGATCTAGTAAGGTTTTCAATCAAACTAGAAAGTAAATAGGCACATCTGTTTGCCTTTCTAAACATGAAATTAAAAAAAATGATTTTCATGCAAAATGGATCTAGCATAATTCAAAATATCCTAGTATAAATGATTATCCATTGTTAGATCAAATTGATTGCCTCAGTACAATCTATGTAGACATTAACTTTATGGAATCCCTTGTTAAAACAAAGCTCTACTCCTTGAATTACACTAATAATCTCTATTATAACAAGAGGAAAAGATCACATACATGAATTAAAATCAACAATCCATTATGCATTTCTATTTCTTATCACACCACCACAACATGAGATGCCATCCTTGGAATCCATCTACATCTAATCTCACCGCATTCTCCTCCAATCTATGCCACTAAGCATGACTCCTTCCTTTGCTAGATGATGTCCTTGTGGATACTTGCAACAACTGTAGATCATTTTCTACTTGCTAAAGTGTATCTAATTTTTGACTAGGATCTACATTGGTATCATCAGAGGAAATTCTTTTACATCTAGTACACCAATTATCCTAGCATTATATCTAAATAGAACATTCCAAGGCACGCTTTGAGTTATGTTATTACCAAGTGAGTTTTTAAGGTTCCAAAGAAGCCATTCCATTCCTTATAGCCTTTTAAACTTGCTCCATTCCTCTTCCTTCACTATCTTTTTCCAACATTCCTCTTCTTATGGGCAATCTCTAAATATATGCATAACATCCTCCTTCTGGTTGCAATACATAAGGCAATAATCAGATTGTTGGAGATTACATTTAGCTCTTAGCTCTATGATATGCAATTTGTCTTTAGTCGCGATATGCAATTTGTCTTTAATCGCTAGCCATAAATGAATTTTGATCTTCTCAAGTCTAGTCCAGCACCTTATTTTGCTTTAAATTTTTCCTGCTAATGAAGGAGTACCTACAAGAAGAAATTTATAGGCAGAAGAAATATTAAAGTTTCCATCTAAGGATGGATTCTAAACAAACATATCCTCACCTCTTTCATCTCTCGGGATACTAGTTCGGGCAATACGAATTATAACATGGCTAGGCAACCATATCCTCATTTTCTAAAGGTTCTAGGTCCCTGTACTTAAAATAAAGTCTGCAACTATTTCATTGGCATTGAAAGTGCTATTAATAGCAATATGAGCTAGTGGAATATCACAGTACCCCCATAAATCAGTCTAAAATTTAGTGCTTTTACCATTTTCAATTCTTTTTTTTTAAAACCTAAATAAAGCCATGCGAGTAATTCACAATAGCTTGCCATGTCAGAAAGGTACTCACTTTTATCTTAACTGAGGGGACAACATCCATGCCAAACTTATATTTAGATTTTGAGACTTATACCCACAAGGCTTTATCATTGGTTAGAAGCTTCCAACAAAGTTTAAACATGAAAGCTCTATTCTACAAGTTTAAATCCTTAATGCCTAACCCTTCTCTTTATTTATTTTTAATTGTTGGATTGTGTATTTTGATGATTACAAAAATGAGAGAAGAGATATTTGTTATGTGTGCAAATAGACAAAGAATCATGGATGAAGACTAAACCTCAAGAATATGAAGAATCAAGAGAAAATGAAGAACTATAGGATAAGTCATTTAATTCTCTTAGATTCAGTGTGTAAACTTCAAGAGCTTAATCACATTTCATTATCAGTAAAATAAATACATTATCTTTAGCTCATAAGTCTCATTTATGCACATTAAGACTAATCTTAATACTTTTAAGCGTGAAAATTATATCATTTTAGCTTGTAGTGGTTTATAAAAATTTGTCTTTTCACTGTCTATAATATCACGTGTGGTCCTGTATGATCACTAGCATAATTTACAAGTTAGACACACCAACTGACGTTTCACACAAGAATTAGGAAGTGATCCACGTGTGATTTGTCACTTGTGTTTGTGTAATTCCTTAACGTCACTTTTGTGTTCCAAATCACGCAACCAAGCCTTTGGTCTACATGCAAGATTTGTCAAGTTGTGTTTTATTGCATTTTGTCAAGAGCCATTTCACGCATGAGAGCAGATGGTAACCACGTGTGATTTTACATTATTTCTCTTGAACACACTTTGCCAAAAATGAGTCTTAAATATTTTTAAGCCATGTTCAAATTATATATTTGAGTGATCTATGATTCACAATTCCATATCTCTTGATCATGCAAAATCTTGCTTAAGTGCATAATAGTTTCATGTGTGATATGATTGCAAAATGGCTTAAGTTTTGCAACTTACCATTTTATTTGTGAGTGTTGTTGTGCTCCACCCGTAATTTGTCTTCCCTAATAGTTTAGGTTTGAAACAAGACATTTCATATGTGATGGTCTATTACTTCCATATGAGATTTGTTACTCAAAATTGGTTTTAGCATTCTGCCAGTCAAATCACAAGTGAGAGCATGTTAGTTCCACGCAAGTTTTGTCACACAAATTTGGGCTTAACTTCCTACTATCCAAATCATATTTGAGGACATGTTGGTCACTCGCATGATTTGTCACACAAAACTGGTTTTGGCTTTCTATTAACCAAACCACGCTTGAGAGCAAGAGGGTCGCACGCGAGTTTTTACACATAGATTAGATTATATGTTCATACACTCTAAACCACGTGTGAGACACCCTAAGATTCACGCTTGATTTATCACATGTCTATATTTAGAACTTGACACAAGCCATTTCACGCGTGATATAATGGGATGCATGCAAGAAATTACACCAACGACTAGTAACACTATTTCAACGGTCTGCCAACTACTAAAACTATATATGTGTAATAGAATTTAAGTTTGAACAAGAACTTTTGATCCTTGAGCGAACCTTGCTTTATATGAGCATTCAAAAAGATTTCAAATTGTGCTTAAACATTTAGCATTCTTTCATTTTTCTTGAAAAGAATTGTGAAAAAACTCTCACAAATTTATAAGTTTTCAACTATAATTTATCTACTCTTTAGGCGGGTTTCTCTGTGAGAGTTTATCTTCTTATTCTTTTGAAATCTTGAAAAGGTATTTTTCAAGTGTTTGTAATAACTTCCTGAATTGCAGTAAGGTTTGTTGGTTGATTTAAGGTTAATTAAGTCTTTGAGTTATACTGTGATTGCAAGTACCCATTGAAGCTCATGGTAGGCCAAGTTTCGGCTGAATCAGGATAAATCTTGTGTATTTTGTCTCTCTTTCCTTCACATTTAAGTTCTTTACTCCTTGATTTTTTTTTTAAAATTTTTAAATGTCACCCAATTCACCTCCTCTTGAATGCCAGCTTATCTAGCATTAATAACTTCTGTCCAAGCCAATAGATGAAGTTTCTTTCCATTTTCCTCATCTCTCTAAAGAAAGTTTCTACATTCTTTCTTCACCCTCCAAGTAGTTTTTTTGGAAGGATCATAGTCTGCATGTAGTAACTAGGCATTGCTGAAATAATAGATTTGATCAAAATAGCTCTCCAAACCATATTTAAAAAAAATTTTCCAACCAGACATGTGACTCTTGACTTTTTCCAGGATCGGAGTGAACAAAAAATATGACGCTCTTTTATGGATCTATAGGATTCCAAGTACTTTTCTAAATCCCTTATCAAATTAACTTGCATCAGCCTGCTCAATTCTAAAGCTCTATTAAAATGAATATTACTTGAGCAGCATATACAAGTCTTATCCCTTTTCATTTTTTGGCCAAAATAGAAAAAAAACTTTTGGATGCAATCATTAATTACCTCAACCTGGTTAGAAGATGCCTCAACAAATAGCACCAAATCATCAGTAAACAAGAGATGAGTAATATTAGGTCCCTTCTTACAAGATTGACATGATATAGTTTAATTTTTCCATGCATAAAGTAAATAAGTAAAGAGTCATGGGATGCCCTTGACAAAGACCCCTA